TCTGTGTGTCTGTGTCTCTGTGTGTGTTCCAGCTCTGGTTTGTGCGGCTGGCCCTCCTGACCAAACTGAACCTCTTCCAAAACGCTGAGCTGGAGTTGGAGCCCTTTGGCAACCTGGATCAACCAGACCTCTACTATGAGTACTACCCCACTGTTTACCCTGGGAGAAGAGGTACACACACACTTAGCTTGTATAACCCTTACCATCCTCTGTCCCTTGGGGTCAATATTATTGACCTTTTGTGAGGGAGAAGCACTTTTGGTAGTGATCACAGAAAATTCCATGCAGAAATTGCATTGTAAAATCATGCGTCGGTTCATATTTCATGTGTCCAAAAGCTCCTCTATAAATTCTGTCTGAAAGCCGACTGAAGGTTGAATAGTGGTATTCATGATCATGCTGAAAAGCTGCTCTGAAACTCTTATCTGCGAGTTTTGAATGTGTTATTAGGCAGCACTCCGAAAGGGTTTTTGCATTTTACCCACGTTTTTTTGGATACACAAGCATACCACCACTGTCCTATTAAATATTCAAAGGAAAGTTTCTGCCAGGAGCTTGATATTAGACGGTATCGTTGAGAAGCTCCAACAACTCTACTTGTCTCCAGCAGTTCTTTGGTTTTGTTTTTCCTCTTCTTACACTGCATGAATTGCTCTCTAATGTATTCCCATTACTTTGGATCTGCTTCGCCCCTCGGGCTACCACAGTGAAGGCTGTAGCAGAGACACAGCTGCATGCACACACACACACACACACACACACACACCCCAAACACACTCAAAGCACACTTGAAGCTACACCGCACAGCCTTCTAAAGAGAGCACCGATTGACTTTCCATTGCTCAATTTAAACGCTTTGTGCCCTGCTAGGTGCTCGCAGACAAACTGGCACGAGTTGTGTAGCCTGGCATCAGAAGTTGAACATTTCTCCAGCCCAACGCTTGCATCGACTATGTATTACCCACGATCGCACTCTTTGAATGCCTTAAGAAACGGCTGCCCATGTATCCCTCTTCGAAGAATTAGGATCGACTAAGCACTCGAGAAGGAATCAATTTTTGTCAGTTATTAATTTGTTTGCCAAATGAAAAGTTGGGTCCAATTTGGACTTAGAAGTATTAAGACCTGAATGCCACATGCCTGACAAGCAGAATTCATTCATGTCCTTTTTAAATCTTAATGCTTTACTTTCAGTCTTGATTCCTTTCATGTTTTAATCAATAAAACAAGACAGAGATGCATCAACCTTCTCACAATGAATAAAATCAACTTGTGGTCAAATGCTAACCCTCCCAGCATCTTTGAAAAGGGATCCATGATTTATTTATTTTTTCGTCAGCTGAATGAAAGAGTATTGGCCTTTGCACTCATGCTCAAAAAAGTCAACTCAAAATCAAAGTCAACTGGTTTAATGTCAGCCCAACAAAAAGATGGACATGCAGGCTAGACTGGGGAAATGTATAAAATGCTCAGGCAGAAAGGTAGTGCAAGTCTTAGGTTCTGAGAGTGTTTAAATGTCTGAAACAGAATTTTAATGTCCCAGATAGTATTGCACGCTATTTTAATGGTGCCCTGTGGAGTTTTCTTGTAAGCACACACAGTTCTGTTTACATTCAGTGTTTCGCACCAAAATAATATTGTCATTTGCAAAGACAATTTTTCTGAACATTTTGGAACCTGCATTGTTACATTTACTTTTGCAAGCTAGCAGTCCTCTTCTTCCCAGCCCTTTGCTGGTATATTGCTGTTTTTTGTGGCACCCACCTGCCACCAACTGCTGTTCAACAAAATAGCAGAAAGTGACACAGCAAATCTTCCGCACATCTTTGCAGAATAAGGGACTAGTGACATCGAGCCAGGATTTTAGAAATGTTTTACAAGAACACTTCAATTGTTTTCATTAGTTTAACTGTTTAACTGACCACATAATGGTCTAAATTTAAAGTCTTCTCTACACTGTGAGATATGTAATACTGTTGGACAATACTAAATCCCTTTTATTTTGCCTTATTTTTTGTCCTAAAAATGTCACATCTTAAAATACAAAGTAAATGTATTCGAATCTGGTGGCCCTGCTCGTAACTATTTGCAGGGATATTCTCTGTCTAGCCAGTCACAAGTGGTAGAACAAGTACTCAGTGTGGCTGCACATTTATTCAAAATAATATCGAAATCACAATATGGCCAAGTGCAAATCGTAGAAGCTGCAAATTTTTGATAAAAGGTAAAATTTGTGACAAACAGCCTAATGATCACCTAATAAGATTTAAGAAAACATTTTTGTTTGATACAGACCCTACAGATCTACGGACGCGTATTGCATTCACTTGAAAATGTATTTTTTGGTTTGTTTTTCAGAGTAATTATTTGTCTTTTTTTTTGTATTTTTTTCTTTTGTTTGTTTTTCTGAGTAATTTTTTTTTTTCTGTTTTTCAGAGTAATTTATTTTTATGGTTGGTTTTTCGGAGTAATTTTTTTCAGATTTTCTGAATAATTAATTTTTTTCTGTTTTTTCTGACTCATTTTTTTTCTGAGTTTAGAGAGCATTTGAAACAATAGACGCATTCATTCCTTTATTGAGAGCTCGATTTAACGGAAACAAACATGACCGGCTTGTTTAGTTGTTAGTTTTTAACAAAGTACCATAATTAAAAGTACTAATTATGCAGAATGGCCTATTTCAGAATTATATATATCATATTATGGGATTGCAATTATTAATGCATTAGTATACATACAGTATCACTATAATGTTGCAGTTGGTAAAGGTGGGGCTATTTTTAATTATTATTCAAATTAAATAAATTGATTTTGCACCGTAATGTCACCATCAAAGTCTGTCAAGGTAAGTGTTTGTAAATGAGAAGGTAAACAACCATTTTACAGACACTGTAAAGGTATTAAAAGTCCAGGAGAGAGAATAAAGAATCAAGCCGAGAGAGAGGACTGTCCAGTTGGCATGAAAATAGAAAAATGTAACAGAGGGCAGTAACAGTGACACATACATAAATAGGGGAAAATTAGTGTGTATTCTGTACTGTAGATGGGTTAGATAGAGAAAGCACAAGCAGATAGACAAGACAGATAGAAATAGAGATACATAGACTGGCAGAATCAGCAGCCAGAGATGGACCAGCTAGCTGAGCTTCAGATCTGATGACAATATCAAAGAGACCCTGATCAAAGCCCGGGGACTCACCTGAATATAGGCTCTTCCTCAGGGATGTGTGTGTGTGTGTGTGTGTGTGTGAGAGACAGTGTGAATGATGTAGAGGCAGAGAGAGACAGAGGGATGAGGCAGAGAGATGAGTGATGGAGCTGTGCAGCACACACAGAGAGAGAGAGAGATGAGAGGGTTTAATAAGCAGCCATACGTAGCTCAATGCCATCTGTAGGTTCCTGCCTTCAGGGCTGTGTGCAGTCTGTGTGTGGGTGGATGGGTTTATATTCTCATCTCGCACTCCGTGTCTTTCTTTCTCACTCTGCCTTCTCTCTCTTTTTCTCTCTCTCTCTCTCCCTCTCTCTGTCTCCCCTGCTATGTCCTCATCCCACCCTGTTTCTTATTTTTCCCTTCCCCTTATTTTCCCACTTTCTCCCTCCGTCTCTTGTTTTCTTCTTGTCCTCCCTCCCTCAATCCCTCCCTCCCCTTCCCTCCTGTCCAGGCTCCATGGTGCCGTTCTCCATGCGACTGCTGCATGCCGAGCTTCCCCAGTACCTAGCCAAGCCCCAGGAGGCTCTGGACCGCCTGCACAATCTCAAAACCGTCTGCCTCGCTGTTAGTACACACACACACACACACACACACACACACACACCAACACAGCCTCTGGATGAACATAAAGATATGCGC